GAAAATACCTTTCCAATGACACCTCTTAAGTCTAAATCGGAAGAGTTTAGGTTCAGTTATTCAAGTTTTTCCTATACCAATCTTTGAAAAAAGTTAAAAAACAGCATCAAAAATCTCATCATTACGATTCCGTTCAAAAGTTGTTTTTAATTTTTTTTTAATATTTTTATGCAAATATTTTTAGCTTAAACCGTTTTATCATTTGAGGGGATTTTTTCAAAAAAAATCTTTAAGAAACTATTTTTATTCATAAAAAACTCGATTTTTGGAGGTATTTTCAAATGGGTCCAGCTCACTTAAATCTTAATATTTTTTCGATATATTTTGGTGGATGTCTTAGAATATAATAGATTTTATAATTCCAATGGAAAAATAGTACCGATTGTTTTTTGTATGGAGAGCGATGCAGTCTAATATACATACATATAACATGAATGCGAATTTGTAGAGGGAAGTTAAAATAAAAGATGGCAGAATACCTGTTGGTGTATACGTTCAATTTCAAAAGACTCCTTGAACTTAGCCGAAAGGCCGCAGGACTCTTAAAGGCTACCTACAAAATTAGGCTTTCTGTACAGACGGGTTGGTGGAGGAAACCACAGAGCATATTCTTTCTGACTGCCCATGTTTCAGGAATCGTAGATAAATACACCTTGGGGAACGGATATCTTCTCCATCTCCATCTCCAATTTGTAATAAAACTGAACATTGTAAGAAAATGATTGTTGAGCATTAAATATTTGAGTTAGTTAAAAATGCGTTTAGATATAAATATTTTTATATTTTATATTTATTAGAAAACAATGTATTGCACATCTAAGACAATGTCTTTTTTTAGTGCGTCGAGCGTGGTACAGGTACATACAGTATTTATGTTTTATATAAAACTAATACTAACGTAAGAAAAAAATAAAATACCAAAAATTTATAAAAAAACATAATTATTACAATTAATCTTAAATTATAAATAGTTATAATCCCAATCAAAGATGGACAGGCCAGCTGTTAATCACCGTGTTTATACAGTCAAATCAATGATTATGAGCTGTCAAATGTGTTGTGTTTATTTTTTTCCTCAAGTCAATGAGAAGCTATATTCCTTCCCTGTGCCACTGTGATTGCTTTTGCCTGCTGAATTAAGCAATTTAAATATATTTTAACTTAATATTTTATTAAAAATACATATATGAACTACTTTTCTTTGCTAGCGTTCGTTTTTGTGCGCTTCCACATTTGACAGTTCTCCTCTTGTTCGCAAAAATATTCGACAAAACTAAGCGTGACACCGAAAAGTTATCGATATGATCTGAGATTATTGTGTAATTACAGATTAGGGGTCGAGGGCTTTTGTATGGCTAACCTGTTTTTTTTTATTCGAGTTTAGGGAGCGAAGCTCTAAAAGAAGGACAATATCTTCTCATGTAAAAGTACTTTATTTTATTATGATTGCATTTACATATATAAGGCACGGGTCAAAGAGAATTTAATCTAAAGCGTTTCTTTGAAGAACAGAAATGTGTATGATTACATTTATATACATACAAAATTTTGTACATTTTCCCAATAAACTAAATTAGTTGGCTTGGGCTTAGGCCATACAATTACTACACATATTAACGGGTGATTTTTTTGAGGTTAGGATTTTCATGCATTAGTATTTGACAGATCACGTGGGATTTCAGACATGGTGTCAAAGAGAAAGATGCTCAGTATGCTTTGACATTTCATCATGAATAGACTTACTAACGAGCAACGCTTGCAAATCATTGAATTTTATTACCAAAATCAGTGTTCGGTTCGAANATTTTGCAAATTTTATGCGTTTTTTTTTAAAAAAAAGTTATCAAGCTCTTAAAAAATCACCCGTTAGAATATTGTACCTACATACATACATATGTATGCATGCTTGTACATATTATCGACGACCACAAGCAATTAAGCTTTACTTTGACTGTAATTTTCAGCGCTGCAGGATATTTGTACATATACAACATATGTATGTATGTACATATGGGTTCTATGTATGTACGAGTATTGCTGATTTTCCTACTTTATGCTACCCTGTCACCTGCCACGATACGATGTTGCAATGTGGCAGTTGAGATATTATTTATGTATGTTTGTTTTTTCCTAAGTCACTTTTTCAGAAACTATGCACATACATACCGACATACATATGTATGTATTTGCCCCCCCCCCCCCCATATATTTCAGTCAAAAGACGCACCCTTGTGTTCATTCTAATTAGTTGTGTTTTCGTATTCTCCAGCAAAAAATATCCAGTAACGTGCCAGTAACCAAATTTCGGAGAGTAAGCCAATATTTACTCCCAATGAGTTAAATATACAAGAAAGTACGAAAACGCAAAACCAGAAAGAAGTTTTATGAACAGCTAACAAATAGTTAAGCTGTCATTTTTGCTCTCTCAATTTCCCCTCTTTTGCTAGTTTCTTGCAAGTTTTTGCGTACGAAAACGATATCCAGTAAAAAACCAGTCAAATTAGTACTGGATTTACTGGATAGTGCATACGCGAACAGGGCTATTGTCTATCTTCTGTGCTAAGTCATCTTCCACATTTCCACTTATTACAAATTCCTAAGAATGAACTATTATAAAACCGTTTTCTTCCGATTTTCTGGAACCTTTACGTATATATGTTTAAGGTAGTCATAATAACAAATATGTACATAAATAAGTTGCCTGCTTTAATGTTGATAAACAAAATCTTAATTAAAGGTTAGTATTCTCTTCATAGCCGTGAAACACGATTCAATTATTAAAGCTTTTGTAAGTACATAGATATTTTCTAAAATTTGACACTCCTACCATAGTTGCCAACTTGGTGCTTTAAGCACTAGATTTGGTGCTTTTTGAAAATTAAAACGCCAAAAAAAATTATTTAGTGCCTAGTGCCTTTTTTAGTGCTTTTTTCTGAAGTAAAATTACTTCGAGTTAGTTAAAACCTGAAATAATTTGAAATATTTAAAGCTGTGGCAGCACTGCATTTATAAGAATCTACAAATTTAAATGGACTAAAATACAACCATGATTGATAAAAAGCTCAAGTTGCAAACCCACCTTGTTAAATTCTATTCGAGTTGAAAATGCTAGTACGCAAGTAAGTTCAGTATTTCTTTTTTTCTTTTCTACTTATTTGTACAGATCTTGTTTTTTTACCATCTGAGTAAAACACATCGTTTCTTGGTGCTGAATCCAAATCTGGACACACAATTGCTCGAGCACTAGAATTTTGAGATATCCTAACCCCAAAACACGGTTTTTAGCGATATTTGAGGTTATATAATGAAAACATCAAACTATTTTCTCATTTCTAATTAGGGCATCATTTTCGTTTCTTGCGATTCGATTTTGCTTTCTCGAGATATACCAGTTTTAATGTGCAGTACTTCGGTATTATGTTATGAAAAAAGGATCCCTTGATTCAAAAAAATTTTGTGCTTTTAGTGTGGTAAAACGCTTTTTTCCAAGTTTTTGGTGCTTTTTGAAAAACGAAAGATGGCAACACTGACCCCCACCCACAGGGATGTTTTTTGGAAGCAGGAGAAAAAGGGGAAGAATCCAACCACACTTCCTAACTGATAGCGAAATTGTACAAATGTAATGTAATCTAATTTTTTTGACAAAAACTGAAATGGGGACTTAGTAAGTTACCAGTTAAAAAATCTTTGTATCGGCGAAAATTTTTTTTCTTTTATCCGTGGTTTAAATAGATACAATTTCTGTGACAACTAACAAACTTGTGAAGTAAATAATTATGAAAAGGTGTTGGCCTTACAGCCAATTTCACGAAAGCAATTTAAATGAAAAATAATTTTCATTTTTAGAATTTTATATGGAAATTGACAGAAAATAAAAAATCATTTTCCCTTTAAATTGCTGGTGAAAGCGGATGTTAGAATTTGAATCATCCCAACATCCACATAGACTTCAAACAAAATTTGTCTAACGTTACTATAAACGAGCATTGTATTTAACGGCAAAAAGAACAAAATTATGATCCGTTGTTTAGGAGAAATCGTGTGTTAATTTGTTTCACGATCAAAAAAAAAATACCCTTATCTTTTCGTTACTTGGTCTTTTCAATTATGTATCTCCTAAATGCTGGCTGGGTTGATGCATGGGAGTGTGTACGCTTTTATGGCGTCTGCTGTCGCTTTCCTCTTGAAATATTAAACACCATAAAATACAGTCATAAATTCGTATTTGTCTGAAATGCGTTAGGCCCTGTCTCCACAGGAAAACAGTGATGTCGTGATAACCATGCCACAAAATATATTTCTAATGGAGATCGCCTATTTCTCATGGGCTGCAATATATGTCAGCGCTTATTGCTTGACATCTATTGCAGGCAGTTCGATAGTTTGACAGCCATATTTTCATTTGAAAAAAAGCGTGCTGGTGGTAACATCGATGAAATTTTGATATTGAATCAAAATATAAATCTGTTCCCTATTGCAGTATTTATGATTACGTTTTAGGAAATTATTCAGCAAGTTTTTTAAAGATTTAAATGTTTTTAAACACCGAGATTGAGAGAATGTTGTCTGGTGGCGTCATGCAGCAAATGCTTATTTCAAGACATCAAAGTGCCCACACACAAAAACTTGCAATCATATTGCTCGTCAAAATGACAGTTGGTAGGCCATCGGTGTTTGCCTGGTGAGTTCTGCGGTTAGCAATGTTGGTGGCAGTGGGAGGGAGGAAGAATAGTGCGGCTTCGTTCGAGACACAACTAAATCTATTCACATACAAATGGGCATATGTACATACATACGGGACAGTTATTAGTGTCCAAAAAAGTTTTGTGACCAATATTTTTGGAAAAAATCTTAAAGGATCTTCTTCCAGGCACCATCTTCAGTTTTTATGGCGTCGCAAAAAAACGTTATGAAGACCGTTACTAGCTGCTTATCTAAAGCTTTACATATTTTTATTGTTTTTTAAAAGCTTTTATTTCCCAGTAAGCGACGGATTGAAGACTTTCAGCATAGTTCCGACCACGACGACAATGCAATTATATAAATTCATTTTCCCAAATGGTTAGTATGCTATTTCGCGAAATCGGTCTTAACGCACAACAAGTAATGTAAAAAAATATCGACTTCAAAACTGACTGAAGAATAAAATTAAATGCACTACAAAATTTAGCAATACCGTTAGTTTCCATTGATCGGAACTAAAGCAAATTTATATGGGATACCACCTTTTCGATGGAAAACACTTATTATAAAAAAATTATCGAAAACGGTTCACGTTATCCAAAGTTATCTGTTAACATATGTACATATACTTTTTCATATGATTCTTCTCAGTAGAGAGGTGTATTTACTTCCCGAACTTAATTTCGACAATATAACCTTTTTGCATTTTGGAAGATGCCCCAAACCTTATCTCGGAAAAGAATTGTTTTAACCACTCTAATACCCATGTACATATGTAAGCAAGATACGTAATATTTACATGCTATATGCGCTAAACGGCACTGCGGCTGAGGTGCGTAATATCACTCCGCAGGACCTGAGTTCGATCACTGCTTCAGGCATTGTCTAAATTAGAAAATCCATTTGCCATTCGGACTCGGCGTAAAACTGTCGGCCCCTCCATTTATGTAACAACATCAATATATGAAATAAAAGTTAAAGTTAGTATACCTAATTTGTATTTCCCTCGTATCCCATAAATCGCTCGCTGCGGCTGTTAAGCAGAGTTTTACACATAGCATTTACACAGCACACCTTTTCTGTTAAATTTTCTTTCTACCAACCATTTCAATCAATGAACAAATATTTAACCATTTGTCGCATTGGTTCAAGAGCAAATTAAACTGTATCAGTTATTTATAATAACAGGAGACAAACTCCACTAAATTGTCCTTCAATTATGTGTATTACATACCCGTAGGTGTCGAGTGAAAGGCGCTTTAAAACGTGAAGGGGTCCATAGATCTTGAGTAGAATGTAGCAATCAAAGTTTCAGTTTAGAAAGTATTAGCCTGTACCACAATAATTACGTTAAAAATGTGTCTCATTTTCTAATTCGAAATTTTTGTAAACTAAGCTAATTTTTATCATTTATTGAGTATTAGCGGTATTCTCTGATTCTTGCAAAGCCCTTGCACGGTGCACAGATGGCACGGCAAAAACCGGTTTTCGTATACACCTGCTTTGTAAACCATGCACCGTGCAAGGGTTTTGTTAGACTGCGAGAAAACCCCTATTATTTTTCGATGTCATTTGCATTCGATTGCAAAATGTTTGAATACATTTTCTGCTGCCTATGTCTATAGACTCTATTTGTACGAGCTGAGCGGGCTGAAGTATAGGTTTAATTAATTTCGATTGGTGTGACGGCGCGTTAAATTCCTATATTAGCAATTAAAATTGCATGTGAAATGCTAAAATTGCTGTCTCGTTAGCAAAAAGGAAAATTAGTATGAATAAAAAAACGATTTTATGAGCAACAAATTTTGCTATAATAATTTTGCATTTGTGTATTAGAAAAGACTCCAGCCAACAAAATAAAACAATTTATTTCTGCCGATTTGAGTGTGGCTGTGGGATTACAACTACATACACATGTACGTATATTATCGAAGGGTTTTGCGATTTTCCACTTTTGTTTATTAATGTCTGCTTTTTTGTGTGCCCGTTTGTATCGTTCAATTATATTTTAATTGTGATATTTAATTCATAAAATATGAAAATCACATGTACAAAACAGGCAGTGTGGCGGCCATGGCCAACCACCAGAGGCTACACCGCAAGCCAATACCACAAAGGTCAATCATTCGCACCCACAACAACATGTGGACACACCCATGTGAATTCATGTAATAATAAGTTTGTAAACTCAAAGCACCACGACAAAAACAACAACCACAACCAACAACAGCTATGACAGTTAAGCTGGAATTTGTGGCATGCAATTTGTAAACGTATGCAATTTATCGGCCAAAAACATAAGCACGCATACTAGATGATTGCAAATACGTCGGCAAATAATAGTAAATAAGTGTTTTGGTTTTACTTTTATTACTTTAGCAATTATATTTGACATTTGGTTAATTTGAGATTTTGATGGCAAATAAATTCGACAAAAATTGCCAAATTGTTTAGTGTAATGACTACCAGCGGGGCTTTACTGCCAACTATGCGCATATGAGTAGATATATGTACATATGTACATATGTATATACAAGTTACTTCAATTAATTATTTATTTTCACTTTAATAATTTCTGTATTTCATATTTGCAGGCACGCGGTCGCAAACCATCAACCGCAAAGTCTACTAAAGTAAATGCCGCTAACGGCGCTGCTACCGCCACAGCAGCCGCTTCATCACCCCGCCAAGCCACAGCGACTGTGACCACAGCCCATGCGGCTCTAAGTCCAACAGCCCAATCGTTAGCCACTGTTTTGCCGCATCAATCGCCAAACCCGAGTGCCACCCAGAACAGTGTGCTTCTGGGTTCTAATCAGCAGCAGCAGCAGCAACAATTGAATACGTTGCAGCAACATCAACACCAGCAACATTTACAGCATCAACAACACAGTCAACAGCAAGTTCAGCAGGTACAGTCTGCCCAACAGCTACAACAGCAACAGCAACAACAACAGCATCAGCAGCAGCAACATCAACATCATCAACAACAGCTGACGCAGCAACAACAGCATCAGCACCATCAACAACAGCAGCAACAACATCAACTGCAACAACATCAAATCACCGCACAAATACAAACCATGAAAGATCAACCACAACAACCGATGGTGAGTATCTATTTACGTTAAAAAAAAAATCGATTTTAATCTCATGGCGTTTTTTTGTACAAAAAATATTACCTTTTCATTGCCCTCACCTTAGTATTTGTGAGTAGAGGGCACAGAGAAGGCAACATTTTTTGTAGAAAAGAAAACTCCATTAGAAGCATGAAATCATGCTCACAAAATTTTACTCTGGGGACTCTGTAAATGGACCTTGCGCCAAATTCACCACATGAAACTTACTTAAAGTAAAATTATGTCACAAAACATTTTAATTCGGACTTCATGAAAATTACTGGAACCTCTATTTGCGTGAAAAATAAATGAGGGTTCAAGCAGGTTGGATGCTTGTAGGTCAAACTGCAACTGCAAAAACTGCAACACACTTTACAGTGGACTTTAATTTGACTATGACTACGGGCCAATCACTTTAATCCTATTTTTAGATACTTTAAAAAAAGTTAAATTAAATCAAGTTAGAGAACTTGCTATTCTTCCTAAACGGAATCTCTTATATCTATAAATTATTTTATAGTTTTTAGTTTTAGTTGTAATACAAGCATGTTTTTAGTTTTTTAACTATAATTTTATTTTCTACTTTTTAGTCTTTTGATTTAGATTTAGATTTGATTAGGATTTAGAAAAATTGAAATTTCTTGGGTTCACAAGGATGAACAGGTATTGAAAATTCCATTTTAATCAATTATATTTTTTTTATGCTAATAAAGTTAGAAACACTATATCCAACGACGTTGTCGATTTTATATTAGTCCTTAACATATAATTTTTTCAAAATAAATATTGCACAATTTCAAGGATATTCAGGGATAAAATTTCTAAGGACGTTTTCAATACCTTATGCATCAAAAAATTGTATCTGTTATTTCTCTACAGAAATTTAATTCTTTAATTTGATACCCATACTATTTTCTCAGGTACACTGAACTAATTTTTTTAATCATTTTCTGAATTACTCATATTATTCAATTTTCAAAGTCCTTTTAAAAAATCCTGACGTCAGAGAGAAAGACTAAAAACGCAATTGTATTGCATATATTTATCCAAAAACTTCGCGAGTATATTGATTTTTTTGTGTGTAAAATTGCCTGTCGCACGGTGTTATGTGTATGTATAATTAGCTAGACATTTATAAAAAAAAAATATTAAATAAACTAAACAAATATAGCAAAAACTGGCTTAGGCTTTTCTATTATTGCCACCATTGCAAATTACAAATACCGAAATTCCCGGGATTTTGGCAAATAATCAGCACTTAAAAAGGCCAAGATCCCGGGCTCCAGGGATTAACATTCCTAATGTGGATATATGGAAGGGGATTTTAAGAAAAGTGCAATTATTCTCTTTATATCCTATAAACCCCCAATTATTATAAATTTCCATGTTCTATTTCATTACTGAATAGAAGAACACATAAAATAATTTTAACCGCTTTAACTATGCAAATACTTCTCTGTGCGATGGTATGAATTTTCTTAAATTAATCAAATTCTAATTTTAAAACATACGGCAACCCTATTCAGAATATTTTAAAACCAAAACCTTGTTAAAGCTTTTTAAACTGAAACACATTTTGCGATACATATTTAAATTGTGTATCTAATTCCCTTAATTCAAGTTGAATTTAATTTCTAAAATATATGACAACCCTCGTATATAAAGTTCAGATGAAAATATTTTTAACCCATGTTAATTTAAACCCATACTTTGAAAATTCATTTGACTTATTAGATAATTTGAGTTTAACTTTTTACACAGGTGGAAACCCTCCTTTGTTTGACGCCCATTATTCAATATCTCATATAATTTAATTTAATTAGACTTTTCAAACAGATGGCAATCCTGTTCAAAATATTTTTAAATCCAAACCTCTTTCGTCTGACACTTGTATTGTGAAACATATTTAAATTATCTAATGCTCCTAATTAAAATTGAATTTAATTAAAAAATTAGGTGGCAACCCTCCTATATGCAGTTTGGATATAAATTTTCTTCAAAGTAATTTTGATTTTTATTCATATTGAAGTAATTTATTTAACTTATTGCTTATATTGAATCTAACTTTGTAAGAAGGTGGCAACCCTCTGCAAAATATTTTCAAACCACAGCCTCTTTTGTCGGACATCTATATCAGGATACATATTTCAATTTTTCTGCCTTCACTTAAGTCGAACTTGCTTTTTCAAACAGGTGGCAAACCTCCTACATACAGTTAAGAAATAAAGCCTTTTCAAAACCATTTCGATCGATACTCATAGTGAATAATTGATTTAAATTAAAAGTAATTTGAATTTAATTTTTTTATCAAGTGGTAACTCCTTTTAAAAAAATACCACATTAACTGCAATTAACATACATATGTATGCATATATTTACATACATACGCTACGATTAGGTTACAAATATTGCGAAATCAAAAGCCGAAATACCTACACATAAATAATTTTTGTCTCCTTCTCTCACTTCCAGCGCATGCATGTGTTTGCAAAATGATAACGAAGTGATTTTGTATGGAAAATCATTTATGCCCATATATTTGAATAAAATAAACAAACTTAGAAGATATCAACCAATACTTCTCATATACCAAACGAAAAAAAACTTGAGTTTTTGATTAAAGAAAACAAAAACAAAATCATTCGAGCATTTTCGTAAAAAAAAAATTTTAATTTTTTCAACAATTTTTTTGCTTAATATTTGTTGAATTTACATATATAAAATTTGTATACAATAATATTGTAATTGCCCCAAAGAACCTACTATATCCCAAAAATTAAACATATATCTGCAAATCACTTTAAAGGCTCAAAGTTTACCCCAAAATAAGCCAATATTTGCCGTTGTTTCTACGACAGAAACCAAACTGGTTAGTTACAAAGATGAATCTGTCGGGAGGTTTGGAACTTTATCTTCGAAACGCCATACCTTTCTTTGATATCATTTGAACATAGCCTCCATATCGAAACGTAAGACGTATTCTACGTCAAAACTATTATTGTGTAAGCCCTTTCAAGAAGTTAAAATGGGTTTTGTATGTGAAATGCACCTTGAATCGGCTGAAATTTGTATCATTTATTAATTCTATTATATTTGCATTATCTCGAACTTTTGCAAAACAGAGAGAGAATCTGGCGCAAACGAATCTAAAATTATATTAAAGATCAAACTTTCACAAAAGTTTTGCTGACGCCAGCGGGCACCTACACACCAACTAAAGTGCATTCGAGTGTATGTGATAAGTGCATCCACATACGTACATACGCAACACCTTGACTGCTAGCTTTTCGCACCGTAATTCACAACACATAGTAACATTTACGTGTGTATGTTAATCCCGGGATCCCAGAATCCCGGCCTTTTTAAGGTCCCAAAAATCCCGGGATTCTCGGCGATTAATCCCGGGATTTTCGGGATTTGTAATTTGCACTGATTTCTTGACCAGTATTGGTTATATTTCTTTTTTTATTTAATAATTAATATTTTTTTATAAATGTCGAGCTCATTATACATATAACAACGCGCGGTAGTAAATTTTAAACTCAAATATCAAAATATTCGCGAAACCATGGGCCAAATATAGTAAAATTGCGTTTTTAGTTTTTCAGTCTGACGTCAGTAATTCAAAACTTATTTTAAAAAAACTCAGAGAAATGTGCTTAGAGAAGACGTATGGGCATCAAATTAATGAGGAAATCTTGTAGAATTTAAACAGATTAAAGCTTTTGGCGCAGAAGGTCTTGATAGTAATTAAAATGTCCTTTCAAACGTTTATCCTTGAAATTTCGCAATATTTGTTTTTATATGTTAAGGACTTATATAAACTCGATAAAATCCTCGTATTTCGTCCTTCTAACTTTATCAGCTTAAAAAATTACATATTCGTCCTTGTGAATCCATAAAATTTTAATTTTTTCGAATTCAAAAGAAATTTCTCTTGCATTTGGTACCCATATTTTTATTCTACATTCCATTGAACTTTTTAAATAATTTTTGGAATTAATCATATATTTGAAATTACAAAGTCCTTTAAAATAAATCCTGACGTTAGAAAGAAAAAATAAAAACGCCCCTTTAAATAAAAAGTAGGTTTCAACACCTTTTATTTATTATTTATTTTATGATAGGAGAGCTTCTCAAACAATATAACGGGTGATTTTTTTGAGGTTAGGATTTTCATGCATTAGTATTTGACAGATCACGTGGGATTTCAGACATGGTGTCAAAGAGAAAGATGCTCAGTATGCTTTGACATTTCATCATGAATAGACTTACTAACGAGCAACGCTTGCAAATCATTGAATTTTATTACCAAAATCAGTGTTCGGTTCGAAATGTGTTTCGCAAACCCAATTGCTGCGAACGGCGACGAATCGACATTTCACGGTCTTCAGCAACACTCTCAGAAACAGACGCAATATTCTCTTCTGTACGCACTGTACGCATTCGTGTGGTTGGTTTAATGTCCAATAAAGTAAACTGAGTGCGAAACTTGGTCACAATCGCATTAATTGTTTGCTCACTTGGTCGATTATGTAGACCATAAATCGGACGTAAAGCGAACCGAACACTGATTTTGGTAATAAAATTCAATGATTTGCAAGCGTTGCTCGTTAGTAAGTCTATTCATGATGAAATGTCAAAGCATACTGAGCATCTTTCTCTTTGACACCATGTCTGAAATCCCACGTGATCTGTCAAATACTAATGCATGAAAATCCTAACCTCAAAAAAATCACCCGTTAGAAGCAATTTTTTCGATTAAAGTTGGTGAAAGATAATGAATATCTAAATCCCGGGCTAATCCCGGGATCCCGGGATTGTGTTAATGACGTCTCGAAAATGTTAGTGTTTGGCCGCGCTTCTGCTCCGATTTGTGCCGTGGTGAGGGACCTATGGTTTTACGCCGGCTCCGAACGACGATTTTATTTTTATAAGAAGCTGTTTTTCATGGCATCAATACACTCGGAGGTTTGCCATTGCCTGTTGAG